TGCAAAAAATCTTTTATGCAAAAAATCTTTTATGCAAAAAAGGATAAATCTTTAATAAATCTTTCTTTAATAAAATACTTCAAACCAACAGTTAACATACCCATTGGTATTGAAACAGTCAAGACATAATCAGCAGAGCTGAAGAGATGGCTCAGTAGTTAAGAGCACTGGCTGCTCTTGCAGAGGACCCAGACTCGATTCCCAGCAACTACTTAGAGGCTAACAATCATCCATAACTCCAGTTCCAGGGGATTCCAATGCCCTCTTCTGACTTCTGCAGGCATTGCATGACACAAGCACATTTACATACAAACAGGCAATATACTCATACACATAAAATAAAAATAAAATTTTTTAAAGTTTTTTTTTTAAGGATATAATTAGGGGGGTGGGGAGATGGCTCAGCACTTAAGAGCTGCTCTTGCAGAGGATCTGAGTTCAGTTTCCAGCACCCATACTGGGCAGCTCACAACTACTTCTAACTCTAGCTCCAGAGGATCCAATGCCTCTGGCACCTGCACCCACACTCATACACACAGGCATACACATGACTAAAATCTTTTTTAAAAAAGACATACTCAGGAGTGAACTGAGTATGCATTCCAGGCCACTGCCCTGCCCTTGAAGCAGAAGAAAGAAAATGTAATAGTTAACCTCAGTTTATTACTCAGCATGTGCTCCATAACAAAAAATTGGTCCCAAGAAAACCATGAACCTCGGGGCACATACCTGTAATCCCAACATGTGAGAAACTGAAACTGAGGCAGGAAGACTGTTGTGAATTTCAAGAGATGTCTGGACTACATAGCCAGTACCAAACCAGTCAGGGCTACACAGAAAGACTCTGTCTCAAAAACAAAACACACACACACACAGGAGCAGGGGAAAGCAGAGAATATCATGATATCCCAATTACCTTTGTAGGAGCTGGTTTAGGGATCAACAGGTGTTGATTCCTGGTGAGTCAAAAGTCAGTGTCTGGGTAACCTCTGGGAAAGTTACCCAATTCTTCCTTATTTCTTAGAGATGACACAATTCTTTGTACCTGACTTTATATAGGCCTGGCTCCTGGAACTTCTCTAACTATCTGCTATAGCCTAGGATGAAACACAGGCTGAGACCAAAGCAAAGCCAAGAATACCGGAGACAATTCACACAGAACCACCTCCTTCCTAGCCTCTGAGCATCTTATTCTTGTTCAAGTGACATGGTATATACACCTGTCTACACCAGGACTTTGTTGCCTGAACTCAGAAGCTTCTCCATGGTTTAAATGAGAAACCCAGTGAAAAGTGCTTACATTGGATTTTTAAAGTTTAGGAAGAATTATTATATAGTAAATACAAATAATGGAGAAGTCAGACTTGCAGAAACAGAAAGCAGAATGGTGGCTCCCTGGGGCAGAAAGGAGAGGAAAGGGAGTTTATCAGCAGATAATAGGGTTTCAAGATGAAAGGGTTCTAGAGACGCCACTTAGAAATGGCCATAATGATAAATTTTGTTGTTCTGTTATCACAATAAAAGTATTCTCCCTCCCTCCCTCTCTCTCTCCCTCCCCCCCCCCCCCCCGCTATGTAGTCCCAGTTGGACTGTCACTCACTATGTAGCATATACTCATCTTAAACTCACAGTAATCCTCCCCTCAGCCTCCCAAGGACTAATTAAAAGTGTGAGCCACAATGCCTGCCTTCATTAGTTCTCTTTATCAATCAACAATCATGTTAATTCCAAATTGATTTCGGAGGTAAACATCACTAATTTTTCTAATTGTTCCTTCATAAAGTAAATGTTTAGAACTCTGCATCCTCTGGTGAAGAGTGAAAGGGGTGAAAGAAGAAAGCATGTAAACAAAGAAGCCAACAGCACTCAGTGAATTGCTATATATACACACCAAAAAAACTTCCATAAACCCAGAGTCAACATTTCCTTTCCAACACCTTGAGATATACGCAATGTGTGAGAACAGGTAACACCTCCCTTGACCCTCTCAGCCTGGCTCAGCCATTAGGACGGACTTCTAAAAGGGATCAGGACTCACTGTGCACCATCCTCTTCCTATTTTTTCAAATACACAAAGTATGTCACCTGCTTAGGAAGAGAGATCTGGCCACTGGCCACCCACTATCCCACTGTAAGGGAAGCTGGTCTGCCAAGTACCTGAACTGGTCATGGCTACAATGATAAGTTACATGGCTTAGCAGAAAGCTTGGAGGACAACTTGCAGAGCTAGAAAACCTAATAAAAGAAAACAAAAGTTAGAGAGAAACAATGCAGGAAGAGAGGCGTAAAGCAATCTGGTGAAGGCAGAATGCCTTCTCACTGTATCTGAGAAGCCAGAGATGGACCTGAGCAGGCTGCAGTAAGTTCCCTTGATTCTTGGAAAGAGGACTGTTGTGTCACAACAATATCCAAAACTAAAGAAAACAGGCATTACTGAAAGGGACCAAGGTATTATCATCATTATTATCATTATTTTCCCTCTAGTCATTATCAATTGGTGCAAAAAATTATTATACCAAACCATAATGCTAGTAAAATAATTTTAGATTCAAAAAAATAAAGCATTTGTTTAATGGAGGATTTACCATTCATTTCTGTTAATGAAAGTGTTTTTATATTTATCTGTGTTTTGGAGCTAGGGATGGAGCCAAGAGCTTCAACTATTGAGTAACACCCCAGCCCCCAAGGCATTAAGACTTAATTAAAAAAAAAGGCTTATAAAGAAACATAACTCCACAGTAAGTCAGCATGCGTGTGTGCAAGAAGTTATGTTCACCACATTTATAGTCATAAGAAATATGACTATTGTTTCTGACGTTAACTATTTTTCTCCCTGAAATGCACCCTATCACTTTACTGTCTAAATACAATGAGCACATAGTAATGTCTTTTTCCAAGTCATAAATGATGAAAGGGTAAAACCCACAGAGAAATTAGGAAAATAAGCTCAGCGGCCAAAACAAGCAACAGAGAGGAAGGGCTGTGGGCTACTGGTTTGGAAGCAAAAACACAGGAACATACCCAGGGCCGCACTGTGGGGCCACACCTGGAGGGACTCTCTACTCCGTTCCCAAGGCAATTGTAAAAACAGCCACAGAAGCCAAACTGTGAAGGTTCAAACACCATAGATCAGCTTCAAGGAGGCAGGCATCAGGAAACAAGCAAAAAGAACTTAAGATTCTCTGCTGTTAATGGCAGTACAGATTTAAAACATTCTGGCCTACTAAATAAATGATAAATTCAACAGGAAATAAAACCACCAAAAATGTATGGGAAATATACAGAAGCACAGTTATCTGCATAGCACATTTTTGACCTTTGTCATTAACATAATTCCTCCACCTTATAAAAGACAATGAGTTAAAAAAAAAAAAAAAAAAGAAGCCATTTAGAGTTATTAAGGCAGCAACGGTCAAATTTATAATTTGGGGTATAAGTTCTGCAGAAGATAAACACAGAGGAAGGTCACCTCAGTGAAGACAGACTTTGAAGGTAATACCAAAAGTGAGATGTGAGAGGTGAGCTTTCGGAATGATGGAAACAGTCAGTGCCTACATATGGGGCATTAAAATGTTAGAACTCACTGTTCAAGAACTGTGAGATTACAGATAATTTTTACTCTTCGCCCTTTTAAGCCCTCTTAGAGTCTTACCCAGAATAAAGGAATACCTCTGAAAAAGTCGACACTTCTCTTTCAAATCCACTCATTTCCCTTTGTCTACGCTTGGGACTTCTGAGTCTACACAGTAAGTGGAGGTAAGGGAAAAAGGGGCAGTCAAGAAGAATGTGAGGTGTGAGCTTTGCCTTTGAAAGGCAAACAGGCTGTCTCCTACACAACCCCCTCTAGAAAAGCACCACCCCAAAGAACCCAGTAGAACAGGGCTGCCATGATGCGTCTGCCCAGCACATAGCAGCAAACCACATGTAGCTACCCAGCACCTGAAATAGGGCCAGTGTGATGGGGGATGGAGAAACTGGGTTTGAAGCTGAATCTTAGCACACATGGCTTCCAGACTGGACTACAGCACAGTCGAGGGAACAGCAACTCCGTGTTCTGCTGACCACCTTCCTCCTCCTGCCAATCATCTGAAATTGTACATTCTGTATCCTCTCACCCCTCCCCAGTTAGCTACTGAATCATAACTTTTAAAAGACTGTACACCAAGCTTGTATTTTCTCCTGAGAAACAGGACATAAACCACATTAACTATTAAGATGCAGCCTAAACTCTGCATCTCTCCTCCATTGTTCCTCAGCCATAATATGACTCTCTGATTTGTGCTGTTCAAATTTACGTGGTCTTGCTCCCTCCCTTCCTCCCTCCCTCCCTCCTTCCTTTCCTGTGTCCCTCCCCCCTTGTTCTTTTTGTGGAAAAGCAAAAGGACAGGAATAGAAATTGAAGTAACACACTTTTATCAGCACTATGGCTTCCCTCATGAGGATTAGTTCAGCAAGTGTGGCTTTATGGTGAACAGCACCATCACTCAGCAGTATCACTACCACAGAGGTTTTGTTCTTATCCTGGTATACTGGTATAAAGCCTGTTCCCCTTCCCCCTGGGTCACTGGGAAGCAGAAACTTATCCTTAGGGCTTACTGACAACTACCTCAACCCGTGTTGATTCCTCCTTGCAGCTTGCAGATTTTAACAGTCCAGATTTGTTTCTGATACTGTACCAACACATTTTTCAAGACTATCAAATTAATAAAAGAGAAATAACAAATGCAAGCTAGATGAACAGAATTCGCAACAAATGTGAGATTAATCTCTTACCTCTACAGATACAAAGGCCAATGCTCATTTCTGAATTTCAAAGATTTGTCAATGATATACACACACAACTAACTGCATGTTAAACAGTATGATTTTAATATGCCTCCCCAGAGACTCTGGAGTTGTTCAGGAACTGAGTTCAGTCAGTTTCCGCATCGGTGCTTGCCTATGCAGAGCAGACTGTCGGTACTTTCTGCTTTCGCCCCGCTTTAGAAAATCTACCATACCTTGAATGCTCTTGAAAATGTTGCGCTCGTAACTGCGATGCCACAAACAGAGATGATGCTATAGCCAACAACTGGTTTCTTTCACTCTGTGTTAATGTGTGCCCTGTGGGAAATCAATTGATCAGTCACATCTGTCATGTCAAAGTCTGGGCTTCTCTCTTACAGTCACTAGTCATTCAAACAAGAACTTTATCAAGCATCTACAGTTAATACTGCATAAGAAGCAGGTGACAGGGATGAAGAATGCCAAATTTTTAAATTTTATTTTATTTGTCTGAGTGTATTGCCTGCATGTGTATAAGTGCACCTGTGTTGTACAATGCCCGTAGAGTCAGAAGAGAGCATTGGATTCCCTGGAACTGGAGTTATGGATGGTCGTTAGCCACCATGTGGGTGTTGGGAATTGAACCCAGGTCCTCTGCAAGAGCAGCCAGCGCTTTTAACCACTGAGCCATCTCTCCAGCCCCGAAGAATCCTCAATTTTAAGAAACGAAACCCTGCTCACAGGAAGCTCAATGCCTACTATAGGGAAGAAGGTTTTAAATAAGAGGCAGAAAACAAATCAACTATTCATGAGAAAGGCAGACCTGAAGCGCTCTCTAGGGAAAGGGTCAGCTCCTCACACCTGCCTGTCATCACTCCCCACCCACAAAGTGACTTCTAAGAACAGTGAGGATAAAGGGCCAGAAGCTTCTACCAGATCAATACTGGCCTAACACGCATGCAGATAAGGCCATATATTTCAAGCATGAAGGACTCCAAGAAAATAAAGGTGTATTCCTTTGTTGGGAATTGAACCCAGGTCCTCTGCAAGAGCAGCCAGCGCTTTTAACCACTGAGCCATCTCTCCAGCCCCGAAGAATCCTCAATTTTAAGAAACGAAACCCTGCTCACAGGAAGCTCAATGCCTACTATAGGGAAGAAGGTTTTAAATAAGAGGCAGAAAACAAATCAACTATTCATGAGAAAGGCAGACCTGAAGCGCTCTCTAGGGAAAGGGTCAGCTCCTCACACCTGCCTGTCATCACTCCCCACCCACAAAGTGACTTCTAAGAACAGTGAGGATAAAGGGCCAGAAGCTTCTACCAGATCAATACTGGCCTAACACGCATGCAGATAAGGCCATATATTTCAAGCATGAAGGACTCCAAGAAAATAAAGGTGTATTCCTTTTGCCTCTAGGCATGCAGTCAGGACTTGAAGCCAGATCAATCAACCAATCAAGAGCTTCTTCTCTCCTTCTCTCTCCCCACCAAAATTCAGTTGGCCCTGAGGGCAGTTGTCTAGCCTTGGGCAGTCCTCGAATATTTGAGTACCTTGCAGTAGTGAATCCCCGCTCTACTGGCATGACTGTGTGAGAGAATCAGGTGTGTGTCAAAACAGGCTTCAGACACTCCAGATCTGCAGCTAACACATCCTAGAGAGCTTTGTAACAGCACCACATTATCCAATGCTGCTTATATGCCAGCAGACAAACATGGTAAGGTAGGTGCAATCTGAGTTCTGGATAACCAGCACAAAAATGAAAGGAAGCTGGTAGGTATCCAGATTTTCCTGAAGGAAATGAAATAATTTAAACATTATATCTAAAAATCACTCAAAATATAAATAAGCTAAAAATATTCCTAATTAAAATTAAACACTCTTCTAGGAGGCGGTGTTTCACAAAAAAGTTTGGGAAAACCCAAGCTTAATCTATCCTTTATGACAAATCCAGATACTATATAGCCATAACACAATGTGGGTTACATAATTCTGGGCTCTGGAACTTAATCACTGATGCCCCTCAGTGACCTCATAAACACTGTGTGTGTGTGTGTGTGTGTGTAAGTCAGAGAACAACTTTCAAGTGTCAGTTCTCTCCTTCTACCACATGGGTCCCAGGGATGGAACTCAGATTGTCAAACTTGCAAGCAAGTGCCTTTAACCATAGAACCATTTGGCTGCCCATTATATCACAGTCACAAAGTCTTTGGCCAGTTCCTGATTTTTCTCCTAACACTGGAGCAGGGATGAAAAGATCCCATGAGTCCATAACTGATTACACATATGAAGAGTATTATAGGAATTGGGGCCCAGGCTTCCCAAAATAAATAGTCTAGAAGACAAGTTCTCCAAGTGTGACCCATAGATGCCTTGGGGGTGAGGGGCAGGATCCCTGCCTGGGCCAGTAGGATTAAAACAATTTTCATATTTGCTTTTTATTAACTCCCATTTTCTCAATGGAGTATTTCTGCATTTCTTGTTGGAGTCTACTACAGTGGTTCTCAGATCCCAGGGAACACAGTATAGAGATGACATCACCACCCTTATGTTGATACCTAATGGATTTTTTTTATTGTTAATAAATAAAGTGATGACTATGTTACAGTTTCTCAGTAATATAGCAAATAACAATAGTTACAATCACAAAGTTCTTTGGAGCATAAGGGATCATAACTCAGACTTCATGAGGCATCCAAATGCTAGGCATGAAGCCCCAATTCCTCTGTTCTGCCTCCAGAGGCTGATACAAGGTGCAAGGTGGACCCAGGGTGGGGCCCAGTCATCTGCATTCCTAACAGACTCCCCATGACTCATTAGGGTAAGGCTAAGCCATCAGATCTCACTTCAAAAAGAACTATATGACTTATGTTTATCAAACTGCAAAGAAACCAGGTCATGAAACCCATTTAGTAGGTCGTGTCCAGCAAGACAAATTATCACAACACCTTTAATACAAATGTTTCATAAAAATTTTGTGTGTGTGCATGTATGAATGCACATATACTTTCAAGGTCAAGGTGGAAAGTGTATTTCTTTCAGTGATTCAGTAAAAATACATTGTAAGTCATTTTATAAAACATGCACACAGTACATATGATCGGCAAGGTGGGGCATAACATATAATGGAACCCTTTAATGGCCCCCTTGGAATTTCCTGCAGTGTGAACAGCTGTTAGCATGCTGGCTTGGGCAGGCCTGAGAAAGGGGGCTCCTGAATAACAACAGTCATCATTCACATCTCTCAAGCAAACTGCTATGCATGACATTCACCTACTTTAACTCTATATTGCCATCTGACCCCCAAAAGGAAGAATAGAGGTCCAAATAGGCCACATATAAGACATTTGCTCAGAAATGACCTTTTCTTTTTTTAATTTTTAGAAACATTTGCTATTTGGGAGGACTAGAGACATGGTTCAGCAGTTAAGAGCTCTGACTACTCTTACAGAGGACCCAGTTCAGTCCCCAGCAACCACATGGCAGCTAACAACTGTCCTAACTCCAGTTCCAGGGAATCCAATGCCCCTTTCTAACCTCCAAGGACACTGTACAACACAGGTGCACTTACCTACATGCAAGCAATATACTTATACACATAAAATAAAAATAAATAAAATTTCATAAAAAGATCTGTTATTTTTTAATTATGTGTGTGTGTGTGTCTGTATGTGGATATGTGCATATATATGTGCAGATGCCTGTAAAGGCCAGAGGCACTGTATGTCCCTGGAGCTGGAGTTACAAGCAGTTGTGAGCTGCTGATATAGATGACAGGAATCAAACTCAGTCCTCTACAAGAGTGGTATGTGCCCTTAAGCTATCGCTCAGCCCCAACCCTTTCTTCAAACCACTGTTCTAGCACAAGGCTATTCTGCACTGTGAGGGAGAGTAACCTTGGCTTTAGCATTGCCCCTGTGGCACTGATCTTGAATTCCCTCTGAATGTTCTCCATTTGCCCACAGGGGTGATAGTTTCCACTGAGGTAGACACAGTTGCATTCCACTCTCAGCTTGAGGTTGATAAGCCCAGACAAAGCTACTTCATAGGCTGTTCTGAATGGGATCTCATCGATAAAACCCTGGACAGTTACAGTGAGGGCTGTTGAGAACCTATGCTAACTGCTAACCTGCTGGACTGAAAGTCAGTGAGGGCAGCAAATTCTTCAATCCTACATGTTTGCAGTTTTGGGACATACGAGATATTTAAATGCTTTGGATTTTTCCTTATCCTTTTTGCAGGTGTGAATATAAACAGAGTGCAATATGACACTCATTTCCTCCCTTCTTTCAGCCCAACCAAGACTGACAAGCATGATTCCAGGGGTGTTAGAAACACAATTGGTGAGGAGGCAGAAAGACTGATGAACTCTAACCCAGCACATGAGAGAGCCTCAAGCACTTAAGTCTTTGGTAGGAGCAAGTCACTAGTACTCGCTACAAGTATAACTAACCCAGATGGAGTTCTAGGCACTTGGAACATTCACAGCCTTACGGCCTTAAACTTCTGCTGTCAATGCACCAGGGAGAAGTGTGAGCAGATTAAGGCATGGCTGGAAGAAGATCAGTTCTTGATCTAAAAGGCCTTAGGGTTAGGCTGGAGCACAGCCCAGGGACAGGGTTTATGTTTAGTATGTGTGTGATGTCATTGGCTCAATCCCCAGTCCTCCTCTCCTAACAGACAAAAGGGTGCGGGGGGGGGGGGGGGGGGGGGTGTTGAACAGTTTTACTTCTACACTGCCAGATCACTGCCTTTGTTCAAATAGGTTTAGTAAATATTTGTGACTAAAAAGAGACTCTTCCTCAATATTAATCCCTGCCCCCTTAGCCTTTTGGAGAGCTCATTTCAAATAGAAGTCTCACATCCTAAACCATGATTATGATGTCCCCACCAGCTCATTAAATCAGTAGTCACTAGGTATGGACCGCATGCAGTATCAGCTGTTAGTTCTATACTATATTACCCTAAGTCTCATGCAACTGGCCACCCTCATTTTCATTACCATTTTTTTAAAAAGTCTTGTCTGTGTTTTCCCTAAATGATTTTGAGTTCAACCATCTGTCTTTAATAGTTTTGGTGCAATTCCCTTTAAAGAAGTATTGTAGTAATGCAGACAGAGACCTAGTTTGGGGCCACAGATACTCTATGTTCTCTCTTGTGGGCAGAGACTTTGTGGATGACCTGTTTCTAGGATCTGAGATCCTGTTGTTAAGGAATCGCAGTAATTTCTCTGGAGCTGATTTAGGTTTCTAAAAGGAGGATAGTCTATTATCACACTCAAGGGTCTTTTTGTCAGCATCATGAGAAACAGGTGGGAGAGTAACTCAGCAAATTCAGTTT